TAAATAATTTTTTTATTTTTAGCTTCATGAACTAATATTTTTGGTAAATTATATTTTTCTGATACATCCATAGTGTCATGACTAAGAAAAAATTTGATCTGACTATTCATCAAACATTTGCTAAATTCTAAAGTTTGATCTCCTACTAAATATGAAGTTGTATTTGTGGGATATGAATTTTTAAAACTATGGATAATAAATTTTTTGTTATTACAGATGTACTTCCACTATCTATTATTACTTGAACAATTATTTGAGATTTATCTTCCAAAATTAGTATAGCATTTACTGCTATTAAAGAAGTTGGATAAAATGGATAAGTATTTGTTGATGCACTTTTTGTTTGCGTGAAATCTTTTTTATTTATTTTATTATGTTCTTCTATATCTTCTGGATCAATATTTTCTTTTATCTCTGTATTTGATTATTTTTGAGTGTTTTTTTTTTCTTTTTAAGAACTTGATTCTTTTTGAGTACTTTCTTTTTCAAATCCTCGTTCTTTTCTTGAAGATTTTACTGATTTTTTCTTTTTAGTATTTTCTTCTTTTTCTGAGCTAGATTCTTTTATTGGTTTTTTTCTTTTTTATAGTTGATTTTATCTTTTTATTTTATTGTAGTGGTGCGTCCGACTATCTTTTTTGAAATATTTTTTCTAGTGATTTAGATATTTGATAAGTAAATATTTTATCTTTTTTATAACAGTAATTTAGGTATTCAGAAATATCAGAGTTCAAATCAAAGTAAATTTTTCCTTTTTTTGTTTTTTCGTTACCATACTTCATAGAGTAACTATTATGTTTATTAGTAGTTATGATTGAGGTTCTTTTACTAATAGTTAAGTAATCTTTTGCTATATATTTTTCCATCTAAGCTTAACATAAAATTAAGTCCTTAAATAATTTTTTTATTTTTAGCTTCATGAACTAATATTTTTGGTAAATTATATTTTTCTGATACATCCATAGTGTCATGACTAAGAAAAAATTTGATCTGACTATTCATCAAACATTTGCTAAATTCTAAAGTTTGATCTCCTACTAAATATGAAGTTGTATTTGTGGGATGATAATTTTTAAAACTATGAGGTAATAAATTTTTTGTTATTATAGATGTTGTACTTCCACCACCAATTATTTCTTGGACAATTATCTGAGATTTATTTTATAAAATTAGTAATAACATTTACTGCTATTAAAGAAGTTGGATAAAATGGATAAGTATTTGTTGATGCACTTTTTGTTTGCGTGAAATCTTTTTTATTTATTTTATTATGTTCTTCTATATCTTCTGGATCAATATTTTCTTTTATCTCTGTATTTGATTATTTTTGAGTGTTTTTTTTTTCTTTTTAAGAACTTGATTCTTTTTGAGTACTTTCTTTTTCAAATCCTCGTTCTTTTCTTGAAGATTTTACTGATTTTTTCTTTTTTCAGAGGTAGATTCTTTTATTGATTTTTCTTTTTTATAGTTGATTTTATCTTTTTATTTTAACTTCCATTTTTTGTATTTTTTTTTATTTTCTTTATCTTTTTCTTCTAGTTTTTCTAATCTAAAAAGTATTTTTTCAATATTAAGATTTTTTTTTTCTAATTTTTTAGGTACATCTATATCTTCTTTTGGTTTTATGAAATCTCTATGATCAAGATTATGATGTTTCTTTGCACGTAAATGATAAATGGATATGATAATAATGAAGCTATCATTTATTTTGTTCCAAACTTTATTATAGATACTAAAGAATGTGTACAACATTTAAAAATAAGTATTAAAACCAAAGGTTATAATATGATTGCTGGATCTTTAAATCTAAGAATAACAACAAGATTTATAGGAAAAATGCAGGGACATTCCAATGTTCAATTTAGATTAAATAATGAAGAATTAGAATTAATGTTTGCTAGCCAAGGTATTAGAGCGATAGTTGGCAAACAATTTAGTTCAGAAATATATTCAGACACTGAATGGAGTATTAATACTTTTATAGAAAAACCTATACTAGTACCAAAAGAAAGTACATCTTATGAAAATCAAGATGGAACATTTAGTGAGATTTTTAGATTTCCAACATAGACAAACTAGAAATGAATCTGAAGATGATTTTGATTCTATACAATCAGAATTGGAAGATAAAAGATCAAATTAAAAGATCAAATTAAAAATGGAAAGAGATTGATTTTAGTAAAATAAAAACATTGATCACTTAGCATACAACCATTCCTTTGAAGACCATATTGAGCACTTTTAAGGTGTTTATGGTCTAACTTGAAGAAGTGTTCGTTTGCCCATTTGAGGGCGAATTATTTATAACATGTGGTGTCGGCTGCGTGGTGTCTTCGGATCAATCTAAGTGAATGTTATGTTTGATTGTCCCTGAAGGAGTTGAGAGATTTTTTTGGGACTTACAAGATACAATCAGATTTTTCGTGAAGGGATACAACTCAATTGCATGGCCGTTAATGGAGCAATTGAAGATGGAAAATTTTCGGTGGGGGGAAGAAGTGCCCCGGGATTTTGAGAAGTTAAATAAGAATATGAAGAGTGTACAATATTGGCGCTTCCTGACTTCAGCCAACCATTCATTGCAGAGAAGGATGCTTCAGGTTATGGGTTAGGCGCTGTCCTTATACAGTGTCAACGGCCCATAACTTATTTCAGTTAAGTGCTGACTACGATAGCGAAACTCAGTTCAATTTATGGGCAAGAACTTATGACGATTGTGCTTGCAATTCAGAATAGTGGCGACGTTATTTATTGGGGCGACATTTTATTATATGCACGAATCAACGTAGACTTAAATTTCTGTTAGAGCAACATATGATGATCAAGAAATATCAGAGGTAGCTTTCTATGCTACTGGGATATGAATTTGAGATTCAATATCACTTGGGATTAGAGAATGAGGCCACTAATGCTTTATCAAGATGGATGGAGGAGCCTGAACTGTTCGCATTGACACTTAACATTGATTTTGGATTAGGAGTTCCTGAGGCAAAGGGAGTGAGTCAGATGGGGATTTGGACAAAATTTGATCAAACTTACTGAATGTAGAGAACAACTATCCTAATTATTTATTGAATGGTGATTGTTTACTTTACCTGGGACTCTGTATTACCTCAAAATTTAAGCCACATACTGAAGTTATTATAGGAGTTTCATAGTAGTGCCACCGGGGGGCATTTGGGCACGCTCAAAACATACAAGTGGATAACATTAGAATTTTATTTGGTGGGAATAAGAAAAGATGTGGAGGACATAGTTATGATGTGTGCTAACAAAACATGTACATGATGTTAGCGTGTGGCGGTTTGTTACAACCTCTAGCATTTCTAGAGAAGATATGGCAGGAGGTGACAATGGATTTCATTGAAGGTTTACCTCAGTCATAAAGATTTACGGTCATTTTGGTGGCAGTGCATTGGTTGAGCAATTATGCTCACTTAGTCTCTGTACTTCATCCTCACACTATGTCATAAAGACATAGTTCTGATGTGTGCTAACAAAACATGTGCATGATGTTAGCGTGTGGCAGTTTACTACAACCTCTAGCATTTCTAGAGAAGATATGGCAGGAGGTGACAATGGATTTCATTGAAGGTTTACCTCGGTCATAAAGATTTACGGTCATTTTGGTGGCGGGGCATCAGTTGAGCAATTATGCTCACTTTGTCTTTGTACTTCATCCTTACACAGTTGTTTCTATCGTCACGTTGTTTTTATACCAGAGTTTGTTCGTTTGCATTGAATGCCAGAGCCGATAGTATCAAATCAAGCTAAGATCTTCTTGAATCATTTATGGAGGGAGATATTTAGAATGTAAGGGACCACATTGAAGATAAGTACAACGTACCAACCACAGATTGATGGAGAGTCGAAAGTTGTTAATCGGAGTGTGGAAACCTATTTGCGTTGCATTCTATCTGACGCACTCAAGCAATGGGCTAAATGACTATCTTGGGCATAGTATCTGTACAATACTTCATATCATACAACTTCTCAGACTACTCTTTTTAAAATTTTTTATGGTTGCGATTCACCCCATTTGGTGCATTGTGGACACAGAACTACACTGGTACCTCTGGTGGACCAGTACTTAGAAGAGAGGGACAACTTGTTGGATATTTATGGAAAGCTCAAAAAATTATGAAGAAACAAATCGACGAACATCGAAGTGATCTGCGGTTTGTGGTGGGAGATTGGGTGTATCTAAAACTCTTACTCTATCGACATAAGTGATTCACAAGATGGAAGAATGAGAAGTTCTCTCCATATTATTTTGGTCCTTATGAGATCATCGAGTGCATCAGAGTGGTGGCTTATCGTTTAAAATTGCCTTATCGACATTTCACCCGGTGTTTCACGTATTTCATTTGAGATGCCATTGATGATAATGTGCCATCTTCTTCACTTTCCCTAAGATATGGATGTTCTTTTGGAGCTATTAGAGTTAGAAGGTGTGCGTCAGAAATCGACAGGTGGGAAAGAAATGCTTATTAAATGGAAAGGTTTTCCAGATTATGACATAACGCGGGAGTCATACAGCTTACTTCAACAACAATTTTCTCTTTTCCACATTGATGATAATGTGTCTTATTGGGAGAGGAGTAATGTTAGACCAATGTCTTCCACCTCAATCTCCATTAAGTCGAGCGGCCCCACGGAACCTTCATCCATCTCGCCAAATAATTTGAGTACCTATTTTAAGTGTAAGTCTAAAAGGGTAATTTATTCATTTGTTAATTATTATTGTTTTGGTATAAAGAGGGTTTATTATGATTAGGGTTAGGGTATGTATGTGATTGTTTTCTTTAATCATAGGAGTTAGGGTTTGGGAGAGAATTGCCTACCTCTCAAATTACAGGCCTATCTTTTATGTACTTGGGATTGTGTTGTTTTGTGCGGATGATGAAGTAAAATATTTTATTTTGCCCAAATCTCCGTGAAAATTTGTCTCATTCCTAACAACTTCGTAATTAAAGTTCATATGTTTTATGCAAGAACAGTTGCCAGAATCGCATTAGTGAAACCTGACAAGGCGAGAAGTGTGGAGGACGTTATTCTTAGAGCAGCTCAAATGGGTCAGATAAGTGAAAAGGTTAAGCACCATTTTTCCTTTCCATCACAGACGTAAATATCTCTTATGTTTTCCTCTTACTGCATCCGGATATAATAATTTCTTTCTTAACTCTCATGTTCTGTTGCAGGTTTCTGAGGAAAAACTCATTTCACTTCTTGAGCAGATTAACACCCAAACCACCAAACAGACCAAAGTCACTGTTAGTATTGACATGCACCACTCTTACCTCGAATATAATAGGAAAATTTATATACATATCACTTATGTATTCACATCTGACACCTAAACTCCAATTTTTCATACCTGCCACGTTACTTATGCATGAGAAGGTGTATTTTACTTTTTAAAAGTTAAAATGGTGATATTTTTGATGTGATATGAAAGATTTGGGTGGTGTAAATGTAAAAAAATAAATGTTAGGTGTTAGATATATAAATACATAGGAATTGGGTGGTATGTATGAATATGACCCTATATAATTTTAGTGTTTAAATCTGCATGAATGAGTATTGATTGCTGAATTTCTTCTTATTTCTTTTTTCAGATTCAACGACGCCGGAGCGTCCTTGAAGATGATGATTAAGGGGCTACTGATGTGTGTAGGTGATTTATATCTGTTATCTGCTTCCATACAATTTTTTTTTGTCTGAATTTTACCACACAATGCTTGTTTTTGAATTATCAAATGTAATGTTGATGTGCCTTCTTGGTTTGCTCTTGCTTGCATGTTATCCCTTTCTTTGTATAATGCAAATTATTGCTCATTCATTATCTTGGTAACGTTATGACCAAGTATGACTTGTCTTTGGTTTGAATTTTCTATGATTATGGCTGTGATTTTTTTGTATTGTAAAGCTTTTCTTTTTGGCCTGAGTTTAAGATAGCTTTCTTTTAGATCAAGTTTGCAAGTCTTAATTATAAAATGTAAAAAGACTGGTATTTTGGAAGTGTTGCAAGTAGAGAGATTATCTTGAATTTAAGGGATGGGACAATAAATTTGTTATAACTTGTTTTTATGCTTGTTAAATTTCTTATGAAGATAGTTTTTAAGCTATGCTATATTATAGCATAATGCAGGGACTGTAGAAAAAAATTTCTTTTATTTTTTATTGACCTTGAAAAGTATATGGAGTCTTAACTCTTAAGAATTATTTAGTTGTTGCTTTGTACAACAAGTGAAGATTTTCTTTCATCTTTTATTAACTTTGCAAAAGTTACGCTTGAATCTTAAACACTTTAAGAATTAATTCAGCAGGTGTTTAGTAGAAATTTTATTTAAATATATGATGAATTGTTTAAATGTTTTACTGAAAAGAGACCAACATTAAAAGTGATTGTAGAGTGATTTTAGAGCTTACATAGTTGTACCATTTTATTGATTATTAAGGTGGTTATAAAGATCATTGAAAAGTAATTGTATGTTGGTATATACTTATGGTTTCAAAATAATCAGAATAGGTGATCTTTTTCGAAGTGAATGACCACTACAACTGAAGAAAATTTTGGATTATAAGATGTGTAGAATCGGTAAAATTTAATTGAAAATGCATTCTGTAATTTTAATGGATGTTTGTTATTATTAGTAAATATTTTTTAGAAGATGAAGTGATATATGGTCGATTTGCATGTATGATGAAATATTGAAAGATTCAAGTAAAATAGAGATCAACATTAAAAGTGATTGTAGAGAAATTTAAATGATTACAATGTTGCATCATTTTTTTTATTTTTAAGATGGTTACAAAGGGCGTTGAAAGTCCTGCATGTTGGTATATAGTTATGCACTCAAATAATCTAAATAGGTGATCTTTTTTGAAGTGAAAGACTATCACGACTGAAGAAAATTTTTGATTAAGATTCTTAGAATTGAAAAAATTAAATTGAAAATGGGTTATGTAATTTTAACGAATGTAAAATTGTTATTATTAATAGCTATTATCAGAAGATGAAACGGTATTCAAGTACGATTGATTTGCGTTAATGATGAAATTTATAAAGATTATAAAGTAAAATAGAGATCAACAATATAAGTGATTGTAGAGTGTTCTTAAAGCCTACAAAGTTGCACCATTTGATTGATTGTTAAGATTGCTATAAAGGGCATTAAATATCTCTTATGTTGGTGAATGCTTATGCACCCAAATTAATTATGATTGATGCTCTCTTTTGAAGTGAAAAAACATCCGTATTGAAGAAAATTTGGATTATAAAATGCTTAGAATTGGTAAAATTAAAATTGAGAATGTGATATGTAGTTTTAATTGATGTTATTTTGTTATTATTAGTAAATATTATTAGAAGATGAAGTAATATTTAAGTACTATGGATTTGCATATATTTGTTACATAAGAGCAAATTATTATAGGAAATTTCTTAGAAATAACCTTGATGGTCACAATTGATAATTTTTTTCAGAAACACTCAAATACAAATCTGATGACACTGAAGGGGTCGTTTGGTAATAGATTTAAGTAGGATTCAAGTTAAATCTTGCAGATAAAAAATGACAATTTTAAATCCAGTTCCTTCTCAAAATTTTCTCAGTTTTGCCTTAAATTCCAGACTTAATCCTGTTGTTGGCAAGGTTCAGTAAATCTAGATTCACAGGCATACTAAAACTGTTAAAGCTATTACCATATTGCCCCTATTAGTGTTTCGAAGTCAAAGTGTTACAATAGATGTGTTAAAACAAGCATACAGAGAAAATATTGTATTGATATGATAATGGGAATATTATCTATTAAAGATAAAATAGTGAAAGTTATATTTTTATGCTTGGATTTTCCCATTATATGTTAAAAGATGTGTCAGCAAGGCATGGATTGGAAGTTCGTTGGAAAAGTTTGAGGGAAACATGGCATGACCTGCATGTAGAATTTAAAAGTTATGAGGGCAAGGCCATACATCGTTGGTTATTCGGATTGATGTTAGGTAGAAGTCTTATGTACAATTGAGTTAATCATGTAGTGGTCAATAGGAGTGCTTGGGGAATGAAGATTAAGGGTCTGTTTGGGGCAGCTGCAGCTTATCCAGCTTCTGCTGATAAGTGACTTATTCTGATAATCTGATAATTTGCAGATTATCAGAATAATCTATCTTGTTGTTTGGGGCAATTTATTCAGAATAGCTTAATGGTAGTTAAATGACATTCTTGCTTCTGTCTGATAAAACTGTTTGGGGCAGCTTATTTAGAATAGCTTATTGGTATAAAATAAACATATAGTGCAGAAACATATGATAATCACAGATAAGCTCTAAAAGATACCATACAGTTCTCACACCCTCAAGAGTACCAGGATAACTAAAAAAAGTACAAATACAAGTATAATAATAATGAGAAATATTAAAATATTTAACTTCAAATATTTAATCTGTCTCATCTGCAGTGTCAGCCTGAGAAAACATCGGTTTCACATGATTGCTGGCATGACTACTGACAGTGTAATATGTGAGACTATCAGCCCACCGGAAGAAACCTCAACGAGCTGAAACACCTCTGACACAACTATAGAACTGCTTCCCAAAGCTATGCTCTTGATGTGACGAATGTCTTCGGATGAAGTTATGTAATGCCATTGTTGCAACCACAATATGGACCTGCTTTTGGAAAGGATACGACGACATATCACGTAAGATGATCCACTTCTTCTTCAAAACTCCAAATGTTCTTTCAATTACCCCGTGTAAAGATGAGTGACGTTTATTAAACATTTTCTTTCTGCCATGTACTGTGCCACTAGCTCGCTCGAAATCAGGAAGATGATACCTTGTGTCAGGGTAGGACTTCAGGTATCCCCTTTGCATAGGATATCTTACATCAACTAGATAATATTTTGAAAATATTTCTGAACCGTACTGGATGCCTAGAAAGCATTTCACCAACCCATCTATCTCCATCAAAGGTGTATGTCATGCGGAGAATGCGAGTAGTGCTACGCCGGTAATAATCCAATAACAATATCGCAAAGGCTGTAGCAAATGCCATTCTCCTACAACGTTGTTGGTCTGTTCCCAATTTCTATTTCTTTTATACAAAGATGACAGAAAATATTTGTTACCTCCTTATCCCACATTGCGAAGGGCCCCCCTTCAACTGATTTAGACATGATGAAGCTATAGAGAACAAATGAGAATTAAAAACATTAACTTTTGCCACCAACATCAGCCCAACAAGAACACCAGTCTCCAAACATAAATATTTGCGACCAATACAAACAAAATGAATAAAAAAAAGAAATATATGAAGACACAAATGATTTATGGGGTTCGGTCAATGACCTACATCCACAGTAAGACTTCGAATTCGAAAATATTTTATTGTGCATTTCCATAAGGTTACAAGCTCGAATATTCTTTCTGGAGGATGATACAACAGAGCTACAACTGTGAAGCCCCATACTCGGAGCCGAAAGCATGAACTTCAATTGTTCAGTAAATGTGCGAGGCCAACAATCCCTAGCCAAAACTTTCCCAAATATCAAACTGAAAACATAAAGCAACTAGGCCAAAAAAGTCCTAAACTACTTAATTCCAGATTTTCCATAAACAAAGTCAATGAAATTTCTGATATTTCTGAAAATATTTCTGAACTGTACTGGATAACATTTCACCAACCCATCTATCTCCAACAAAGGTGGATGTCATGCGGGGAATGCGAGTAGTGCTACGCCGGTAATAATCCAATAACAACATCGCAAAGGCTGTAGCAAATGTCATTTTCTTACGACGTTCACGTTGTGGATCCATCCTAAATGATTTAAAATATAAACATTAATAGTCAACTATCCAAATATAAACATTAATAGACAACTATCCATAAAAAAAATTATTTTCACAAATCAGCCACCCAAATAATACTTTCTTCCAGCATATGATAGATTAGTTCAGCATAAACAAAGATGAAGGCAACCCTTCTTGAAGGCTAGATTAGCCCCCAAATATCACTGCATAGGTAAAAACATGCTAAGAAGATAAGTAGACAGCCTATACATGCTTGAGAACTGAACTACACCTCCCTCATAAACTTACTTTTAACTGAATATCATAAGGCATTTAAAACACATTCTACCAGCATGCCATTCTCGCCCAAAGGTGCCACCCTGGAGCAACCTTGGCCGAGCAAAACAGAAGACGAAAAGGGCACAGGGAGGGGGAAGAAAACAGACCTCAATCAAATCTCTCTTCAACAGCAAAAGAAGGCCAAGGAAAGCTCAAACACCAAAGCCAAGAATTTCAAGAATAAATTTTAGTAGGGCCTCCTCTCCCAAAATTTTCGACATATTCTGTTCTAAAAAAGCCCAAATCTCCAAATGCAAGAGCTAAAAATCCCCAAAAACCAAAACGTATAAAAATCCCAAAAAACCAAAACGTATGGGATCCATTTCGAATTTCCATTTCTAGATCATAACAAGAAACCTAAAAGCTTCGAAGTTGCCTTCTAGCCCTCAAAAAAACCAAAGGAACACCAAAAAAAACCTTCCAGCCGCATATAGATCGGTAAAGGAGAGCAAAGGAGTGCGGCGATCTCACCAGAAGTTTACGCACGAGATCGGTGAAGGAGATCACGAGGGACAGCGCGAGAGAGAAACCAGGGGCACGGGAGGAAAATTACGCACGATAAGCCCTAGCCAACGCCGAACAGAACCAGGCCCCCGCGTCTGATGGATAAAACAAATATCGGCCCGCGATTATCTACGATTCCAAAACGCTCTTACGAACGCCCAAACAAACGATGCGGCCGCAC